ACAAGTAAAAGTCCTGTCATGCTTTGTGAAACATGAGCTGTTTATTATCGTTAATGCACATGTTTTGGTGCCGACTTCTCGGCATGTCAAACCATTGTATAGTTTTGAATATGAAAATATTGGATGAGCCCCAAGATTGCTTGGCATTTGTGTTACTGTCTGTCTTTCTGTCTGTCCAAAGCATGTCCTAAAGTGACCTGATCAGCTACAACATGAAAACAATGTCATGACCATTTACTATTTATACTGCTTAACACTGCTGTCAACAATGCACAAAAGATCTGGGGACAAAAGCTTTGAGTTAAAAGAACTGAAAGGCACTGCAACGACAAGACACCACCTGTCAGGACCACACACTGACACAAAGACCAGAAGACACGAGGATTCAAAAGAACTGAATTTCACAGTGCCTTTAAGAACAAGCCACAATGACAATGTGTGGAGCATTGATACAATGTACTGACAAGTGTAATACATGATGTTGCGGCAATTGAATCTTTACAATAAGTTAAGAGCTTACAAGGGCTTTCAGAAGAATGCTTTAACACCTTGATATCTGATGTTATATTGTACAATTTGGTTTCTTTAAATTCAACAGTTTTGTTATATGACAGTCTTAGGTACCGTACCCAGCAGAATTATATCCAATATGGAGAAGCAACAATCATGTCTACAGTACAATCTAGACAAAGTGCTGTTTTGTTGTTGTTGTTATGTTGTAGATAACGTCAGACAATACAGTGCATGAAGCTATGATTTACAAGCTGCAACATCATTATATTCTATTTTAAATATTTAATGACGATTGGGAAATCCCTCTCCTCAAAAGCAACAGTGCCAACACAACACGGGGTAGTACATAATAAAACATTATGTACCAAGCATGTGAGTGTACACTACGTACCAGTGCATGGTGTGCCTCCGCGGCTGCAGGTAGTGCCGGCTACGAGTGGGACTCCGCCTCACCGCGAGCAACTTCCCCTGGAACGAGTGCAGCATGTCGTCCGCTTTTCTTTTCCCCCTCGCACAAAATAAGGATCTAATTCAACTGGTCTGATGTCCGGACCGTGACAGTTAAACCATGAGAATCTCGCTGACCCGGTTTCCAGACAAAATCTTCTTAGACAAACAAAGGTTCTCCCTGGAATAATCTGTGGTTGTGATGGCTCACTGCAGTATTTCTGGCAGTTATCCGATGAGGTGGATTAGATATCACCCACTCAGCAGACAATACAGATATATCAGACTCAGTGAACTCCCGTCACCACACAAATAAGGGAGATCATGTACACAGACCAATATAGCTGTCTCCTTCACCTCCCCTTCGGTTCGTATTGACAGAGACGTTGTTTTGCCAAATGACGACAATCTCAACCTTGTCAGCTCACATCAAAGATGTAAACGTTCTTTTATCCTAAATCTTGGGGCAGTATGTCCTGGAACAGCAGGTGCCTGTTGCTAGGCAACGTAGTACCAGAGAACGCAGTTGTCAGCTTGTGATGGACAGGACTTCCGTCCCCATTCGGCGACAGGTGGCACCAAAACACAGCCGCCTACATGTATGTTATATTTTCTAACCCGTCAATCAAAGTCAATAAATCGCTGCCAACAGCTTGCAGGTCCGAAAAGCTGGCCTTGACCCTGACTTTTGTTCAAAGGTCAAATGATACTGTTGCACAGCTGCCAAAGTTTAGTTCACTGTAAAATCTGCCAATTCCATCTAAAAATTAAGAAAAAAACGAAGATGAATTGAAGTCTCACATTTCCTGCTGTCCATAGTGTCCTGAAGATACATGTATTAGGTCTATAATGTCCGGTGATTCCAATCAGAAGAGGACGATTCCCTCACAAAGAACTTCTCGTCCTTATGAAATGCCTTTAAGATGTTGCTAGTGTAAAGAACCTGTTCTCCTGGAGTCCGTCCAGTCTATGCTCGGAACACGTAATTCAGGCAGCTGTTTGCACCTGAATAGCTCCTCAGAAGGCTCAGAACCACTCTCACAAGCAACGATCCTTATCGTGTCAGATGTCTCCCTCCCTCGATGTATCAACTCAAGAGTGACACATAAGGTCAACAACCGACAGTAGCTGTGATTCCGACGACTCTTCAATCAGAACTCGGATCATCAAAGTATGTGGACCTCGCTCACACAAGGAACAAACGCATCAGTGCGGCCCTGGAAAAGAGTGGGCAGCGGAGGGTACGTCGGTCAGACATTGCTGTGGATGCTCAGAGCAGGATTACACTGCATACTGCTGACATTAAGACTAAGCAGTCAGGCATTTAGCGGCTAATGCTGTCGTAATGGCTAGCACTTGGTCTTGCTCTCAGGAATGGTCCACTAGTATCCTCAGCTTATAGGTGGGGAAATTAAACTTCAAGTAGTCATAGTTCTGTTCATGTTTCAGAGGAACTTTTCTTTGAAAGTCTATCATATTTACTTCTCATTTCAAGTGTTATGTTGGATGTCGAAATAAGATGTGAGGCTTAATTAGATCCAATCTAACTCCGCCCCCTTTCAAAGACATCAAATAGACCAGCCTGGAGACCTTTATGTAAGTTGTGGGAGTTTGATCTGTGAGGTTTATGATGTATAAAAGCCCTGAATGGCTTGTGTGTCCGTGTGTACACAACCTAATTGACGTCAGAGCTGAGGTTAGCATACCAAACATTACAGCTTGGCCAGACTAATCATCAACCCAATGTACATACCATATTGGCACGTCGGGCGGCTGAAAATCAAATATTTGTTCAACGAAATGTTAACAGAGAGAAGGAACAAATATGTATAAGCCATAAATGAAACTAATGTATAATATTAGCATGTATTTCTCATGTGGCCCTTTATAAATAGGTTTGATGACATTCCCTTTTTTTCATTTCTGTTTATTATTCATACCTTTTGCCTTCTTTTATACTAATGCCCTAGGGGCTGTTTCCAACATGATTGTGTACCGCTTACCGATTATGATAACATAAGCAAGTCCTTTTTCTTTCTTTGATGTACATGTAGCATTTTTGGTGAATATTGATTGTTGTTCATAATACTTGCAGTTTATGTCTCACCAACTTATGGGAAATTGCACTATGTATACATTGTTATTTGAGCTCTTTTCATATTTAGCTTTCATCATTGATAATCATATAGTGGCTAAAATTTGACAGCTTAAAGATTGAATGTGATGTTGGTTTTACTATGCCAGGTGTTTCTGATACAAATATTATTTTGAAAATTCACGAAGATGCATTTGCCTTATGTATATGTAAGAAACATAAAACTTAAAAGCCCTACATTTGGCAGCATTTATAGCAGCAATGCTTGTAGTTTGATGCATTAGAGATTTCACTTTTTGGAACCTTCTGACCTCAGCATTTAGACCATGGCCAGAAGTACTGACATGCATGTATATGAGATGGTACTTTGTAGCTTCATGTTTTACTGGGGCTTTTAAAAAAGGCAAGAAAAAAAGATGAAAATGTTTTTGAATAGAAGAAATAAACTGATTCTATGGGGTCACATACATGTACCTGTACATTTCTGACATTTATCTGGTTTATTGCCTGAGCCATCAACTACCTACATATTAAAGGAAAGAATATTTATCTGCCAATTTTCTTGTATTACAACCTATAAACTATTTTAGTATTGATTTATTTGCAATCTGTGTTGTACACTATGCCAGACAAAATGCATGCCACACTTCCAAATATCTCTCTGTTGTTACCCTTAGTTTCTGCTGCAATAACTGAAAGGTATGGTAGAGGGAGCTACTGCATAGTTCAAGTTGCAGAGAAGGAACTCAATGCAACAAGCAAGGGGATTTGTACAAAGTAAAATTATAATGAAACATTTAGAATGGTGGGCATCATTCCCTGTCAATATTTGACATGTATAAGATGAGGATCTGAATCGGAAAGTTACTTTAAAAGAACACAAAATAGTAGACAAGTCTCTAAATCTGCATGGAATCAAAATGTTATGACACCATTCATACATGTAGCACTGAACGTTAGCAAACGTGCATCATAGAAATTTCTGCAAATCAACACTTGATATCATATTCTTTCATTTTTTAATAAACATAACAAGCTCACTCATACATATATATAAAAAAGTTATTGATTTGAACATGTCCGTCCCACATAATCTATTATTAACATGGAATGTTATGTAGATTTTCATGTTTGTGTAAATGTGTGTTTTCACATGATTGTGTGTATGTGTGTATGTGTGTGTGTATGTGTGTGTGTGTGCAGATGTTATTTCAAATTGATCCAGGTTACTGACACTGTATCACATGCAGTAACAGATACAGAAGAAAATACACAAAAAGGTCTAGGTCAATGTCACGGTCAGAGAACAGTTTGATTAAGTCGACATGCAAGGGTTTGTTTCTAACCATTGGAGCAAATATGACACCAGGGATTGACAGGCAATCACTATAGGGTCAAAGGTTAAAGGTCAGACTTACCAGCACAGGTGACCTCTGACATGCAAGGTTCAGGTTCATGAAGATGTCATCAGGTCAATGATGGAAAAGAGGGAAGAAATGACACGGAGAACACGAGCAACCACTATGACATGGGGAGACAGGCACTTACACTAAACTTCACACTCAACTGGCAGGGGGAAAAAGAAAATATTAATTTTAAAGAAAGAAAGAAGAGACCAGGAAGTTTAGGATAAGGAATGACATTGAACAGAAATCAGGGTTATTGTAAATAATGTCAATAACAACTATCTTTATCCACTGCAAACAGAAACAAAACATATCTGTCAATCACTGAAGAGACAGACAAACGAAGAACACATTTCAGCAGCAAATGCCTCAGAGAATGCTTCCTGCAATACAGCAAGAAAACACCGGGCGGCGCTCTTGCAATACAGCATGGCAGTTGACTACATCACTGTACACATCTAGGCAGCGAGGGAGGGGAAAAGTCTACAACCTACTGTAGTACTAACAATATATGCTAGATGGCATTCATGGGTGAACACCTTGAGTTGTCTTGGTCTTGGCTAACTGCACAACGGTGGCAGATCCTCGGCGGCTTTCCGTCCTCAAAACTCCTGCTCTTCAGCCTGCAGACACAAGGAGGCACTGCTGTACAAGGGTAGTGTCAGTGGAGCTAAACTCTACTTTCTGCTCTACTTTCTGGTACTTTTGCATAGTTTCTCTTTAACTGGTAGTTTGCATAGCTCTTGATAAGCATGGTCTACAATACAACAGCTTTGAAAGAAAAACAAAAGAATATACAGTAACACCTTCAGGTAGTTTTGCATACTTTTTGACGACTCATACATACTTTTGCATAGTTTTTGATAAGAGAAGTTTACAGTAGAACAGCTTTGAAAGAAAAACAAAATAATCTAACTTAACTTGTTGATAACTTCTGAATCAGTCTGTATTGTTGACTCATACAGTCTATAATACAACAACTTTGTATGAGAAATATTTCCTTACAAAAAATTTAACTCTACTTTCTAGTACAATTCTTTTTGTCGACAGAATATATCTAGAATAGCAATTTTTTGCTATTGAAGTTTTGCCATTTGCAATAAAGGATCAACTATTGAAGTTTACCAACTTCAGTGCCAGAGTATTGAGGTTTAGAGATAGTTAAAAGGAGGAAAGTGTTTGGAGGACCTGCTACCATGTTCTTGGGACTTAGGTTGTCATCATTCTCACCTACACAAAATATGTTCCTTAGTACCAAGAACAGTTTCAATATTACTGAGGATCCACCACTGAAATCCTTGCCATTAATATACAATGAGTTCTTCAGCACTGAGGACAAGTCCAATATTACTGAAGATAAGCAACCAAAGTCCTTGGTTGCAATATACAATGAGAATCATCATGAACTATACATTCTTCAGCCCCAAGGACAGTTCCAGTAGTATTGAGGATTGAGCACCAAAGTCCTTGGCAGAAATATACAATGAGAATCAACCTGAACTATTTAAAACACAAGGACAGGTCCAATATTACAGCCACCAAAATCCTTGGCAGTATTGTAAAGTTGAATCATCCTGAACTATACATTCTTCAGGACCAAGGACAGCTCCAATAACACTGAGGAATGTGTCTTCAGGACCATTCCCTATGTTACTTTCCCATCATCCTGACCTAAGCTTCACATGTACTTCAGCACCAAGGACAGCTCCAAGAACAGTTCTAAGATCATCCTGCATCTATTTCCTCAACTTAATTTCCCTGTTACTAGTACTCTTAGGTCATGGGACAGAAATATTCTCTCACCATTACATGTTTTCAGCACCAAGGACAGGAACAATGTCTGGATCAAAAATGTCGTCAAGATGCATTCTATTTAATGATGTTGATTATTTTGGCTACCGGAATGGGGTCATAACACAGGCCAAAAAGTATCATATATTGTGCTGTTTGTTTCTGTCCTCTTGTGGGTAGAAGCTGACCTAATCCCCTCCCCCGTGTAAAACTTTTTTTCTGATGCTCACTTAAGTTTACTTTGGTTGAGGAATGAATACCTGCCTGCCTACCTTTTAACAATACAGCACTTAGAGAATACCCCTGCTGTTCCACAAACAAAAGTGAACGTCCAGTAAGACAATAGCACTGCCAAATCCAGGCCACACCCTGATATATGAGGCCACTTTACATGGGGAGTGGCACAGAAACCATGGGTCAGCTGGCACAGGCTTAAACTCATCTAAAACTAATATCCCAGGTCAAGCCGGGGCTTTGTGTAGAAACCTGCTGACACGGCCTGGTTATTAGGCCTGCCAGTCAAGCAGTAAAGTGCTTGTATTCCCCCAGATAAAGACAGGTATGAACCCCAGGGCTGCGTGTGATGAAGTGAGGTGCCTGTCTGTAGGGAACCGGCTCTGACCCGTGATTATTACGGGCGGCCCACCAGGATCCAGGAGCAATTAACCCAGCCACTCTGCACTGCACTGTTCCAAGAGAAAGTAGGACGGATGTTTAATGATAACTGACAACCTGTATAGGTAATGGAAAACACAGATATCAAGTCAACTGTATATGCTAACACCCTGGCTCTTAGAAAAGATGCTGGAGGCATATGCTCCTTTGAGTAAACTTTATTCATGCCCACCTGACATCCTATATCCCAGTAACTGTTCTTTTGTTTCCGAATATTTTGGCTGTAGGGTTCCTGTTCCAGATATCCTGCTACCTTAAAAACAGGAAAACTTGTGCTAATGATCACCTTGCATAGCTGGACAGGTGGTTATACATTTGCAAAAGTTTGACTGTTCCTCAGTGTTCTATCCAGCCAGAAATATTTTCTGTCATCTCAATTTCACCCTCTGAAAAGCTATTTCCTGCATTTTGAGGGTTACACTTTGCTGTTAGATTAAGCTTAGTTTAATGATATCTCTTTCCATATCTTTACACACCAATTTTGTCTGTCAAAGATGATGGATTGGGCACAAATTTTGTATATCATAAGCATCAAAATTCTTTCAAATGATAAAAAGACAGACACTGACTAGAACACTGCTGTGCCTACATTGCTTAATATATAATTCATGCTTAGACAATGATGTAGCTTAGCCCACACCTTTCTCTGTGACGAAAACCTTTTCTTACTGATATTCGCTCCATGTAACTGTGTGTATCAGGGAACGTAATCCTATATTTCCAACTTGAAACTCCGGATAATAATATTATTTTGTTAGATCCCAGAAGCACCATATCAAATTGCTGCAGCTTGCAGATGAAATTTGTGTTGAGCCTGAGTTGATATTCAGTGTGCTCTGGAGTTAACCTCAGCTGAGCTGCCTATCAGACCAACCCAAATTTCATTTTGTCTGGCTTATCCTGTCTATACTTCCCATTACTCAATGTAATAGCCATATAATTGAAGTTCTCCATATCCAATAGAAATGGCTTAAAATAGTCTTCTTGCAACATCCGCTATTTTCACACCAATGATTCCCAATTTTGTAGAAAGTTTAATCCAAGACTTAGATTCCAATCTATCTGTATAGTCATTATAACCGCCCTTCGGCATAACACACCAGGCACATATCACGTCAGCAGCTGGCTACATTACAACTAGAACATCTAACTCTAAACATTGTTTAAAGCTATCTAATAATAATGCCTCTACTGTACTAGGTGACAGATTCTAGGTGATGAAAGTCATGCAGATCACTATTATGCAATCAGCCCTTTAATGCCTACTTTGAAAAGCATGAAAAAATTGAATCCTCAGAGAATATATCCAGTTGGCTGATTTATTTATAATTAGTATTATGTAAGACTGTGATTGCTACATGCATGAATGGCTCTGACCTTCATCAACTTTAGGCCTAGGAAAAAATTCTTCAGCACCAAGGACAGGTCCAATATTACTGAGCATTGGCCATTAAATCCTTGCCACTAGTATACAATGTGAATCCACTAATATACAAATTGAATGTGAATCATCCTGAACTATACATTCTTCAGCACCAAGGACAGTTCCAATATTATTGAGGATTAGTCTCCAAATGTTTTGTTTCCAATTTTCGAACCGACCCTAGCAACATCCTATTGACCTGGTCCTTGAGATAGTCCCAATTTACATTGTTAAAGTCTATTTGTAGGAGCATTTCAGCCGATATCTAAAAAATGATTTTAAAAAAAGAAGAAAATCCCTATCTACCAACCCTATTTTTTTCAGTACTGAAACCCGAAACACACAACACAAATTTTTGCTAGGCCTAAGTTTGCTTCCAGATTCAGTAAAGGTGAACATTTTACAATCTAAGGATCCATCGTCTCATGAAAGGTACGAGTCCCAGGAGGCAATTCCACCATAGCTTTACTTGAAGCCTGTTTGAGCAAACCTTTGTTATGGTTATAAGCACCACCCACTCCCTACATCTCCACTTGTACAGCTGCCAAACCCATGCTTTAGCGGACGGTAAGTCAAGAGAATTCCCAGAGGACATCACAGACTTTCAGTTAAATCCTGAAGATCCAGACTCTAAGACCTTGGATTGACATCCCTTGTAGGATAAAAGTGAGGTTATTTAGAGGCAATGCAACTACATGTAGTAGCAACCTGAGTAACGGTTGTCAGAAAAAACTTGAAGACTGTAGTCCAGTTTTCTAGCCAGCTCCTGTCTTGACAAATTACTATTAATACAACAATTTAGACATACTTTCTTTACCATGGTGGTATAAAGAAGAGAGACATTTAGAATAAATACATAATTACTTTACCTGTTATACTTAGTAATGAGTGAATCACTGTGTTTGTTTAGGAAAACTGACATGACGAGAATCAGTCTGGAAGGGTTGAATCAGACGTTAACCAGTGATAGACATTCTGGCACCACTGCTGTATGTCTGCAGACACTCTTCAATCATGTACTAAGTCCCAGAGACGCTACAGGCTTACTCCTAGAGGTAATTTTTGTTTGAGATTAAATTGTTCTTATCAAATAGCTATATAACAATCTGTGATGAAATTGTTCAGTGTACCATTCAAATTTCATTTCAGGTTCTTTTGTAAAGTTTTAAAACTTGAAGACTTGATAACGCAACATTTTTTTCCTGTGCGTAACACTCCTAAAGCACAGTTAAGGAAACATCATGCATTTAGCTAGCCCTTTTGAAAGAACATCTCTGCATGCAACAGCTCATTATTGTTTTGAAAGAAGAGAAACAACGCATGGCTTTAAATTGAGGGAGATCAAAATTACTGCCCTACAAATGTCCCATAAAAGAAAAAAGCACTTACCCCAGGTAATGTTTCAAGTTGTGACTACTCCAAAAATAATCACATCCATCTATCAATATGAATAGCATGCAGGCTTGTTGATTATGGTTTCTCATAATAGAAAGTCACGTTAATTTGACTGGGGAAATCTCTTGCACAACATGTACAACAGCAAATGGCGGCGTATCTATTTCTATTTGCAAAACTATTGTGTATCTTGTACTTTCCCTTAAGGCTTAATTAAATCACAACATATTGTGAAGTAGCAACAATTGGATCACTGAGTCCTCCTTCATTACTAAATTTTCTCTATACTTGTGTATAGCCTGGTATGTAATATCATAGAATGTAGCAGTGGATTGTTCTAGATTTCTAAGACAAAGACTCATTTTAATATGCGCTGTACAGAAAAATGAGGTACAATGTAAGTCCCATTGTTACATTTTGTTTGGAATAATTTAACCTTGAAATTTTTTTAAGATTGTGATAATATCATAGAATGTAGAAGCAATGAATTGCTCTAAATTCCTTGACAAATATTCACCCTGGTGCTCTACAGGAAAAAATGGGGTAAGCCCAATTGTTCCTTTGTGTTGGAATTTACAGTTAACTCTGATACAGAAGTTTTTTTATCATGATAGAATTATATGAGTCAGGGTCGAACAAGCCTCTATGACGGCATGAACTACAACCATAACCAACAGTACAAAAGAACCTCTGACTTCCAGTCTCCGTGATAAACCATCACGGCATCCTGGGGGTCAATTCCCCGTAATTGGAAGGACTTTAGGACGACTACAATCTCATTCTGCCTCTTACCACCCCCACCCCACCACATTAAAGCATTCTGGTGTGAAATTAAATGGTTCTAGCCCAGTGGACTCTGCCATTGCTGGAGTTGAGGTGTGAATGGTTATCTATTTCTTTTTCAGATGAGTCAGGGAGGCAGCTGGTACTCAGAGAGTAAATGTAGGACATATGGGTTTTACGTGTTTAATGATTAACTTGCAATGGTTAGCTGACTCGTGGATATCCTGTTCTGAGAATGCATGCCTGAGGTAGCAGAATTGTGGCCACGTCATCAGAAAAAGATGGAAAGAAGAAAGTAAACGGGGAGGAATACTCCACAGAAAATGGAGACAGACTCTAGTGTTGCCGATCGTATTTGCTCTTTATTCGAGACCGTTCTCTTTCCACTGCTCCAACCTTCTGTCTCTCATAATCCAGTCTCTTCATTCTTTCTTTTTATCTTAGCACAGAGGATCCTGCACATTCATGTAAGACATTATGTCACTAGGTTAAATGGCACTTTTACTTTCTTCTTTCTGTCTTTTACTGATAACATGGCCACCGATCTGTCCTACATTACATGAGCACACGTGATAACAGATCAAGACCTGTGTGTTGGAATGACGAGCTAACATCATGACAATTCCACCAGTAAGGCTCATGAGAGACAGAGGCAGATTTTCCACATTAATCACAATCTGTGTTTCAAATCTCTCATTCCAAATGTTCGCTTAAGTATGTGACACGGAAAGTTGATACATTTGGCTGGCTTTCAAGTTTTCAATGTCAAAATGCCTTGAAAGCGGATTACAGAGTTTTCCGAGGTGAAGGCACGGATTTAGGGGATTTTCCGTTACGAGCTATGTCACATCAATCATTTTTATATAACGTGTACATGTATGTCTTAGCTAGTATATGGCACTAAGGCCATGTTAATTTGATTATAATGTATGGATGACATCCTCTTGGAACCCCCAAACTGATTTTTGCGTGCCAATAGAAAAAGTTTGGAAAAAGAAAAGTTGCCTTCACTATGAAATCTATGTGATCATGAAGGCTGAACAAATGACTAAACACACAGAGTGTGTTCTGTTCTTTCTCTTTGGAATTGATTTTGGCATACTGGGACATTAGAATTGTTTTCCAATATTTCTTGCAATTTGTGGCATATATTTGCTCATTTTTCAACTGCTTTATATAATTGTATGATTTACAGTATGGTTGAAAACTTTTTTATTTATTTTTGGAAACGGACAAAAATTCATGCATGCACGGATATCATCTATATATTATTAACCAAATCAACACGGTCTAAGGTTGATTAATTTCAATTTGATTGCCTTCCAAATATCATGCAGTTTTCAATGTCAAACCATTTCTAAACAGACTACAGAATTTTGAAATGCGACATCCTGGATTTAGAGGCTTTTCCCAGTGATATTCCCCTGTTGAGGATAAACCCAACCAATTCATCTATTAATGACAACTTTGACATCGGCTAAATCCTGGTGTCTGAAATGTCTTCCCTCTGGGAATGTCCCTGGCAGGTTATTCATAACACAAAGGAAAAGGAATTTAGACCAATAAGCTTAGGGTATTTTAACAACCCAGTACAAATCTTTGCCTTATACATTGTACATGTTACAATTGTTTGCAATAAAATTTGAACACTCAGACAGATTACACTGTCTGGTGGGCTTCCTTGTAACTAATGTAAGATGTATGAAGTGGTAAAAAAATTATTGCTTAGCATACCCTGTCGAAATCTATTTCGTTGCCCAAACACCCATGTCCTACTAAAAAATCAGACCATAGCATGTCCACAACATGAGATATACTAGTACCATGTACGCCACTGCAGTACCGTACAAAGCTGCCAGGTTTACCTTAATTGACTTACTAGACCTTTGTCATCCCAACTTAAATCTACCAAATATCATAAAGTACACGCACAGCCTAAGTTATAACCAGTTAAAAAGTTGTGTACCTAACACATAACCTTCTCGACGAAGGTAACTATTTTTAGTCAAACACATTTCATGACAACACTTAGTTGATGTTAGTAAGTTGTAAGTTGTAGATCCAGAGAAAATGTCAACGTGATAAATTCCTTCCACTGGAAAATCTTCCAATCTCCTGGGAAATGTCAGCAAAGACAATTAAATCTGACTATAAATAATAATTCATAACTTTCACCAATCCTACTTACAATAAATACATTTGTGGATTCTTTATTCATTCCAAAACAAGGCCTTGAAATAGTAGTAGTGTATATGCATCATAGCGCACGTAGAATTGGGGCTGTGCAGGTGTTTTTGATGTCTAGTTACCTGTACCTAACTTGCAATGGTCCATGACTTTTCTTTGCTGCTTTGGCTGTTACCACCTATGAAGTGTAAAGAAGTGATGGGAATAGTGTCTGAAAACCTTTCAGTATGATCCACCCTTCTCAAAGTCTGAGTGGTGCAGGTAAAATTTGTCTGGTGCAGGTAATTTTCACACCTACACCAGTGTGTAAAAAAGTATTTCAAGCCCTGAAAACTGATGACAACCTTCAACGAGCAGCCAATGATTTGTTCTAGAAGTAAAAAGAGACAATTGCAATGTACTGCCTACTATTAGACTTCCAGTAATCACCATATTATCTGACATGCAATAACATGATTAACATGTTTCATAATAGGATTCAAGCCTGTCAACCTGCTTTAAATAATCAACTTAATGTGCTTTTATATCCAGAAGATCACCGGTTGGATGATTGATTAAAGGATGTCATGTAAGCAGAAAATTTCATGACAAATCCTCCTTAACTGGACTTAATTGTAAAAGTTGCAAATTCAAAAAGATACACCGCAAGTTGTTTCCTGTCATGTTTTTTAAAAATGTTTTTTCAATTAGGATTATTTTCAAGACTGTCTACGACTGATACTCCAATTCTGGGTACCTTAGCTTAATTTTGAACTAAAAAATCCGAAAAAGTTGTCATAAAAATTCTTGATATTTGCATCTTCTGTAACTGTGTATAGAGACTTTCCACTGACTCCCAATATTATTGTTTTCAAAATGTTGATGTTAAAGCTTTATCTCTAAATAATTGTTTTAGATCCTAAGAACCAACAAACTATCACAGGCACATTTCTGCTGACTCATATGATGGTAAGCTATTAACATCTGTAGTTCCTCAATATAATCCTTAATACCATAGGATTTATACTAAGTTGGACTTAATGGTGCTGATGACACGCAAGGATCTACTTTGACATTTAACCTTTTCTCTGCCGATGGACACAATTAACAACACAAATTCGTAACTCCACAGAGAAAAGGTTAAAACCTTTAAAACTTTTATAGATTAAGAAATATTCAGCACATTCATAGTCTTATTAAGTCCAGTCAAATTTGGTTCATGTTACCGGTATATGTTGGAACAAAGTTGAACGTTAACAGTCTTTCTACTAGGCCCACGCAGTTTGTTCGATGAGTTTTATTTCCCATATTTTCCACTACTGTAACTCACTTTATATTCCTGGTAGCAAAATTTCACGGTCTGAGAAAAATTGACATGTTCGCAGAACTATATGTTCGCATCGAGGGCAGATGAATAAGAAAGAAAGTCTGCAAATTATTTGTTTGTGGTAATGAAACGTTTGCGGTACAGGATGGACCACAAAAACTGTGAACATAAATAACTGCGAATATAAAGTGATTTACAGTATACTTTTAGTATGTGTCCTTCAACTTCAGATGAAACTCAGAGGAGTTTAGATGCAAAAATGATTTTCTTGTCAATCAAAGATAATCTAGACTAGACACCCAATCTAGGAGGACTGATGGGGACGTCTTTACTCCCGATTGCCTTGACAATTCTAACATGTCAATTTCAGAAACGTCCGTATGAAATCCCATCTATATTCCACCCTGTGATAACAGTTTCTCATCTCGTGTCTTACAGTCCCAAATTGTATATCTGACTGGTGCAGATAAATGATGGATACATACTGTGATCAGCTACGCGTGCACTGATGCAGACATTTATTACTGACATCCTCAATTGCATGATTAGCTAAAATTACACGAACAAATGTAATCTTATCTCATTAGCCTAGTTCCATCCTACTCTAGCTTTGGTTTGCTCCATTGATTGCTTCACTGATAACTGTTAACAGACAATTGTTTGGCACATGAATATAATGCAAGAACTCTGATTGGCTCAAAGTTGTCTGTGACATCCTATCATAAACCAATTAAACAAGCAGATGTCATTTACTGTTAGTACCTCTCTTGTATCATTAAAAACATTTCAAAATGTGTTGTAATTTCTAACTTTTTTAGCTTCTGACAGTTAAAAGAGGATACTTAATGATGAAACAACAGGCCAATTCATTGTATAATTCATAAATGATATAAGACCTATTGATAAAGGTTGTGACACAACACAGCAAGGCATGAAGAACTGCTCAGAGCTGTAAGTTTCAGTTTAGTGCGACAGAATACATGACATTGTGGATACACGACGGAAAGGAAAAATGATCAAAATAGATACCTTGATTTTGGATGGAAGGAAAGATTGACAGTTCGGTTGATGTAGGAGGGGCTGAACGACAGAGTGATTGAACGGCCACCCTTCCTGTTCGCCAATCAGAACAACAGAAAAGCAAAACAGTAAATTAGAAAAGCTGAAAGGGCAATGAAAGAACTCAAGGTCAAGTGGCAAAGAAAGCATACAATAACAAAATTGTCATTAAAGCATACATGGAGCATTTGAACATAGTATATGTAGCATGTTCACAACTGAGACATACAAAAGTACAAACAACAGGTTCAAAAGCTCAACTGGTAGCACATATACCAAACATGAAGTTTGCTACGTGTTTAAAAACTGGTGTTTTACATGATTGTGTGTATCGGTGAACTACTTACTAATTTTGACTACTGGCGTGCTGCTACAATTCCTAATGTGTAACAACTTTCTTCCACTCAAAATGTTTTCCACTTGCAATTACTAATTTGCCAAGTTGAATTTTCCCAGATATACATACTTTTCCTGAACTACAAAATCATAGAATGGACAAATGACAAGTATGTGACTGTTAAAGTACCTGATCAGTTGCTGACACTAGTGACAGTCTCATTTCAGTAACAATTCAGTAAAACAGCTGAACTGTCACAACTGTAATGCAGCTGACAAGTAGGTATGCTTCCTAAAAATTATTCAGACTGATCACTTACTGACAAATACTTGTCAGTACTGATATGCTACTGGCAATTGTGTGAAGTTTTACAAAATGTTTGGCCCCTCTAACTGTACAGTCACAATGCTACATGTATCAAATGATCTAGTCCATTCATACAAGATCATTACATGTTACTTCCTTAGGCCACACCAATTTAATTTCTTGGATTTTTCTAGAAAAATAATGGAGCGGGCGGGCGAAAAAAAAATAAAATAAAATAAAAACAGGCCTTAAGGCATCCTATTATGGCCCAAAATGGGATGATAGGAGCCATGAGGTCAACACACCAGGCTGGTTCAAAATTTAAACGATGAATTTTGAACTTTTAATGATACCATTGCATTGAAAGATGGAATAACTGTAACAACTAGGATGAAAAGGACTGTTTTCAACTGTTCAGGGCACAATAAGAGCATTTTGCAGTTGATTCTGAATTTTTATTTTTATTTGCAAATCAGAAAAAAATGAAGCGGGCAAATCCGTTACCCAAGAAATTAAATTGGTGTGGCCTTATCGTCTGCTATTAAGTCCATTCAAACGGAATCATAACGGCCACATTAACCCTTCATTATATCCACCTCATTAAACACCAGAGATAAAGTCAGAGACTGGGAATGGTTGGAAAGATAACGTCTTCATGCTGAGAGTAATACATGTGATAATTCTTCAACTTATCAGTTAAAGTATATTACTCATGTACAGGTGCGAAGATTGCAGTAGAAAACTAAGGACAAAAATGCTGTTGATTATGTTCATAACTCAACTGTACTTCTTGAACAAGAATCTTGTATGGAGACCTCCTTGGCTCCGTTCAACAACTTCTAGTTAACTACTAGACTAAGTACTTTTTGTGTATTTTACCTGGAAGCCAAATTATGTTTTGTGCTGTTTCTCTTATTGTTATATATTAGTTCTTCTGTAGCAAAACCATTGTCCAATTAATCTTAATAATACATGGCTTTCAGACAGGATGGAAAGGGAACTAAGAATAAATTATGAAATAGTATGACTACCTGAACAATACGCTTGATGTCATTAAGCAGCTAAAAAAGAAATCATCTAGGATCAAAGAAACTCTACTGGTGGTAAATAAAAGTTGAAAGAAAAACTGTCAGATTTTTATGTGATCAAAGTGACATCAAAATCAGCCTGCAGCTGAATAATAAAACAGAAAAGTCATGAATGTTAAAAAATACACAAAATGTTGAGCCCTACAGAAGATTATAAAACACCAATGACATATAAAACCTAGCAGCAAATAGTAAAAGACAAAAAATGTTGTCACTGTACAGCAAATGATAAAAACATAAGACATGCCTAAAGCCCACACAGGGTCAATGCTAGAAAATACACATAATGCTGTAAGTTGTGTAACCCTGTGGTACAAAATAAAACAACCATGAACTTATCATGGAAGTTCATCTGTGTTGGTAGTAATCACAGTATAGAATCAGCTGCTGAACTTTATTCTATAACATAAGGATAGACAAGGATCAAATTTTCCATGGCAATCTTCCTATGTATACGGTTGGTAATAAAACTGTAAATCAGAAAATGTTGTGACCTCATGTGAGCTATAAAAGAGACATAACATTCGATCATTCTGTAGCCTTCCTATAGTTAAAAGACATAAAATCTTGTAGTTCCTATGGCAGATAATAAAACAGACAGAAGATGTTGTATCCCTACATTAGAAACCAAAATTATTACTTAACGAACGCCTTTCCAATTTGCCCTGCAACTTCAGAAAGCCGTTAAAGTCTTAAACAAAATAAACCAACAGTACAGTAATAAAATACAGACAAGAAAAGTTTGTAACATTGTAAAGTTTTCTGTAAACTGTGCTGGCATTTGGAACAGCATCCAATTTGGAGACCAATCAATTCTAATTGTATGTGATATTTAAGATTTATTTTACTGTTTAACCAATACGATTTACAGTATTTTACGATGATTTTCTGATATTGAATGGAAAACTGATTCGCAAAAACGGCATTTGCTTTCATTCATAACAGTCACACATAACTTTCGATATTGGCACTTCGTGCCAATTTTAGTTTGATATTACTTGCTGTGCTTGAATAAGAATGGTAAAATATTGTGTCATAAACATTAACTGAACCATTTTTAGCACTAATCTCAGAAGTTACAAGCTTGGATTTGCAATATTGAGATAATACTATCTTACGCTTAGGAGTTTTGTGCAAATTTGTTGGCAAAGTTTGCTAAGTATAACGTCACGTAAAGAGACACGAGATATGTACAAAAAGTAAACATTTATACTTGCAGTAAATGTTTCTGAAACTGATTATTATCTGTTATAACCAATCCTAAATCGTAGTAGTTTTAGGGGTTGCATAAAAGTACCGCGTGTTAAGTAGCCTCCTGTGCAGGCTCCGGGGCGGGTGGGAATTTTGATACAGCGTTTTGAATAGTTTTTAACGCGTTATTTTACACGGGCGGAATGGAACCTTCTCTCGGCGGCTGGTTGTAGGATGGCCGCAACTCGATGGCCGGCTATTAATTAAAATAACCCGTTAAAAACTCTTCAAAACGCTGTATCAAAGTTCCCACCCGCCCCGGAGCCTGCACAGGATGCTTATGTTCAACGTGTCAAGGCCACACAAAGTCATTCTATTGCTATCTCGACTATCAACAAATAAACAAAACAGATACCTCGTGGTTTTGTGCAACTTTCCTACCAGCTGGGCGCCAGTTGCCTTCATTCGTTAGGGTCAAAGGTCATAGAATTTCGCCTGATTATTTTTTAGCGTTGCGTTATATTAGTACAACTGATATGGCCTAGTTGAAGACGAACTGTAAAAGTCTCACTTCAAAATCAAAATGAAAGAATTATTGTCTTCAACATGCGTGGTCGACATCAAAGAACCATAATATAATGCCGTAACTTATAACTTTGTAACTTTTCACCATTGCGACACCGAACTTGGAAACACATTGGTTAACCCAAAACACTATGGTATTTATCACGGCGTTCTATTCAATGCTCAGTTGACAAATTTATACATCAAAACGTCAGATATTTGAAACAAGTGCATTTTTACAATTTCCCAGATGTATTCGCCAATATCTTTTATCCGCGTGCATGGCACTTTCGAGCCGAACCACATACGTTAACGTGTCAGGTGACTTGGTGCATGAGCAGGTGTGTGGCTTTGATTAACGCCGTGGTATCAGCAATTTAGGAAGAAGTGGTGACTTGGGGATTTTGAATTATTAACAGTCAAGCCTTCAAGTTCATTGGGGCTCCCATACTAGTGTATACAAATCAGATGATGACTCCAACACAGTACGCCACATAGAAAAATATATAACGTCAATCTAATCTGATTGTCTTTCACAAGGGAATACGTTGGTCTGTGGAGACACAAATTAGTATTGATTCGTCTTAAATCAAAACGACGTCACAAATCCTTTGTTTTCTTTGGTGGTTAATATTTTCCAGAATCTTCCCATCAAATTGCATTTCATATGATTATAAAGACGTAGGTTGTTCGTTATCCCGTGTAGATGTAGACGCATAATTCGTGATTCAGACGCTGGAAGTTTTGAGACGGCGACTCAAACTTAAGTACAGCTAAACCCATTGTCTGCGATTTGCTTTGACCCTTTTGACTTTGAAGCCATCACTACCTTGAAAATTGAATATGGCGTCAATATCATAAGTATATTTGTTCCAACGATGTGTCTTCCATATGAAGAATACAAACACGGAACACTGATAGAAGGTCTGGTCCACATGTAATAACTGCATTTACCATGACAAATCATGATAATTCTGTGTAATTAAAAACAGTCTAGGTAAGATAAATTTAATAGGAAACTTTTAAAAGGACCGTCGGAATGTTTCATCGGCAAATTTCCTATTATTGGGCGGCCGACTGCCAGTGCTCGTACCAATCATCTAGACAATACAAAGGCCATGCTGATTTGATTGTATGGATGACATCCTCTGGGAACTACAAAACTTATGCGAGCGTGCAAATAAAAAAAGTTTGGCAAAAAATGCCTTCCTTATGAAATCTACGTGGGTCAAGAAGGTTAAAACTTAACACACGTGGTATGGTGAATAATACAATGTAGACTCTTCGTTTAAATTCTCCTCATTTTAGTTTCTTCTTTTCCTTTGGAATTGATTTTGGCATTCTACGACATTAGTATCGTTTTCCAATATATATATTTTTTCAATTTACGGCATATATTTGCTCATTTTGCAGCTGCTTTGTACGATTTACAGTATGGTCGAAACTTGTTTTTGAAACGGACGAAAATTCATGCGTGCGCAGATGTCAGGATATAATCAAGTCTATATAGATGCCATGCTATCTCCTCTTAAATCATAACCTTAACCAAGATGCATTCCTCCCACAGT